CCATCAGAGAAAGTTGTTCCTATAAGTTGCTTACTTATTCAGTTTTTTTTCCCCTGAGAAGCCCAGCTACAGAGTATGAGACTCTGAAAATCATGTTTGTGCACTCATAGCAACGTCCTACCTACAGAAGACACCTATGCACTCTCCCTCCGGCCTTGCTGCGGTTGCTGCATTGCAGCAGCTGCTTACCCACTTACAGGCCTACTTATGAACCACCTGAAACTTGCAACTTATTAGTGGTTTCCCCATTAACCCTTCTTGTTGGAAACCGGCAGGTACCCTATTTCTCCAACAATATGGCCTCCCCCAATAGGAAGTCCCAGCATGTTTTATAGGCATGAAATGAAATTAAGTCCCTCCCCCCAAATTAAGGCCTATATTAAAACATGCGAAATTGGGGAAAATGGTGGGGGGACTTGCTGTTAGGAAGTACTTTTGTTGCACACTCGGATATGGTACTGCCTGCGTTGACCCTGATATGAAGTGCCCCACCAATGCCGAGGTCAACATCCAAGCCATCGCTGCCCGCCTGCCCGAAGATGCAAGGGGGGGGAATTAAGTCACCTCCGAAAAGACGGCCTAGCCATTTTTTCGGGGCTCAAAAAAAAAAAAAAAGACCTGGCCTTATTATATGAGAAACACGGTAGTTGAGAGAAGGTCTTAATGACCCATGATTCTTGCTGTTGAGATTTATTTATTAATCAAATTTATATAGCTAAATTTCTCACCAAAGGCACCTCTGGAATTACTATCACTTAGCAATGTGGTCATGTGATATTGCACTTTATTTAGCGATGGAAATTCTGGTCCCAATTACCATTGTTAAGCAAGGACTACTTTATGCTGTGTTTGTGTATGTATGTGTGTACATTCATATAATCACACACAAATAGTGAAACAGATAGATTGATCCATGACATCTTATAGATTCAGATAGATCCATGCAGGATATATCCTTGAAAGAAAAAGAATGAATAACATATCCTTGTATCTTAGCATTGTATGTCTCACTGTTGAAGGCTTTAACATTCAACATTCCACCAATCATTGTCATCATTCCACCAATTCTCATAAAATGGTTGTCGGCCAGAATGCTTTCATTCTGTTTCAGTGCTTTTAGTCATTTGAGTATGGGCTCGTTTCCTTTGGGGGTTACTAGGCAGAGTAGTGTTTTCAGTGGCAGTATTCACATTTTGAAACTCTTCCTAGAATTCTGTGTAATGCCTTGTCTATGGGGCTTTCAATTGCTCCTGAAGACTCTGATTCACAGTTTAGCAGCTTAATTTCTGACTGATGTAACTAAATGAGACTATATCTTATACATTTTCAGTGGAGATGTGGAGTTTAGTATGATAAAATGTATGTGGAACAGGAATGATAGACAAAAGTTATACGATATTTTAGCTTTTCTGAATGCTTAACATATAACTTATAGATGCCTAATAAAATACAACCTGATCGTATGTGCTTTACTTGCTCTCAACAATTTCTGATAAATATTTTAATTGCTTTTGAATGGATAATTCATGTCATTTGACTTCATTGACTTGGTTTCTTCTTGATGATTCTGTAATTTTTGCTTAATTTTCTTGTGAAGCCAAACGTTGATAAACCAGGGTAGAAATTTTATAGATAAATAGATATATTTTCCACTACATCTGTACTTGCACCATTGTTGGGTTCTGCACATTTTTTAAAAAAATTGTTAAGCTGAACCTTAATCTTTTTTGTTTTGTTTTGTTTTAAGTGTAAAGCTGAAAGCAGCAAAACATATAGCTATAGTGGCTGCCTGCGTATTGTCAGAAAAAGGATGTTTTAAAATTTACATATAGTGATTTATAGGTGCATTAGAAAATTAACAATAAATACTATAATTTAAACATATCACACTATGAAGGTCGGTAAATGATCTGTTATGCTAGCTACTGAAGATAACTTCAAGCCCCCAGGATTTATTTTTCTGCTTTAGCTTTGAACCAACTTGGAATAAACAATCGTTCTAAACCTTTACAGCAGTGGATCTGAGAATCTAGATTTTGTTGACTACAACTGTCATCAGACCCACTGGAAAGTCAGTGATAAGAGAGCCACAGGTACTCCCATCCCACCTACATAAATTCCATTAGAGAGATGTTTTCTGTATAGCCGGACACATGGTTACCTTTTATTCAACCATTACATCTTTTTCTGCGTAGTGCTACCAGAAGCATATGATTTCACTCAAATTAACTTTGGCTGTCCCAACTGATGATGTATTTCTAATGTGTCCTCCACCCAATTCCAAACACTGTGGTTACCCTTGATTTACAGCACATGACAGCCCCTTCTTTTTATACTGGGATCAGCAAAAAAGTGTTTGTTCATTTATTTTGTTTGTATGCAATTATAGCTAAAAACAAATGTGGTCACTTTGACATTCCAAGTAGCTATTTTGAAACCAGCATTTAGATGTTCTATCCATTATGCAACTTAATTATGTAGTAAAATAGTGCAGGATTATGGTCAGAGTGCATACGATATGGCTGCAATACTCAGTTAATTTATGAGTCCTCTAAAATTGTGGATATTTGTGGATAATTTTAGGACTTCAGACATGAAAATATGGTGCCAAACATAAGTTTTCTTTTTTTGTGGTTGCAAGAAATCAAAGTATGTTTTGCATTTGTGTTGAGCATCTGAAGTCACAGCTGGCATCCAAGGATAATATGAATCACTTCTTTCCCCATTAATTATAAGTTACTGTGAAAGGGAACATTTTGGCATACAAAGTAAAGAAGCCTGTCAAAGATAAACAATGCGTGTTTATATAAAAAAAATCCTCAATAAATGGTATAATAGGTAAATATATACTGAATTGCAGTTTCAACCAGTTTCATTCAGGACCTTCTCTGTTTTTTAAAAAAACAACTGTATAAGGAAAAAATACTTTGAGTTATTTTGAAAACAATATAAACAAGCCTGGAGCTAATACAATTTCTTATGCATGGAAGATGCTAAATACATTGGCCTTAAGGAAAAGTAATAACAAATCATGATTAGCTTGAATGTAATTATTCTAAAAAAAAAAGTATTCCTACTTCACATGATTTCTGCTCCTTGGTGCACTTAATTTCAGAATCCTATGTAACCAGTAAAGAGATTTGCCAGTTAAAAGTACTACGGTAAAATCAATCTTGTTTTGTACAGTGTTTGATTATGTGCTCCATTTTTTTAGCAATGTTTCTTTTTTTAAAAAAAGGAACTCTAATATTAGTTTCAACATTTCTGAATTTAAAAAAATTAGTGACCAAGGTAAATGTACAGTTAGTGAATAACACTAATTTAAAATGCCAGGTGAGCTAAAACATACTATAGTTGTTTTGTTTTGTCTACAGCTCGGGAAGCATGACTGTAATTATGTGAATTGTGGATTTTCTGCTGTGCAATAAATACAGTATATTCAGGTGTGTAAAATGGAGAATCTATCACCAGTGATGGAAAAGCTTCACAGGTTAAAATGACAATCTGGCCAAATTTAGAATGAAACAGCAGTACTTTATTATTTTTTCTCCAAGTACTGAAGAGACTTGCTTGAAAGTCATTATAGAAATACTGAAATGATTCGTGGTTTCTTTGTGCAATATTTTCTGCAATATTTTCTTTGTATTTGACCTGTTATACTTATTGGGAACCAATAATAAATTTTAAGCCTAAATCTGAGTCGGTCTTACGACCTTCGTCTGCAGTTGCAACATTCCTATTATTGATTCCTGATTTTATTTTACTGAATGTATTCTGTTTAATAGTTCAACTCAGTAGTGCACAACGAATATTTTTTTCCTAGAATTTTGTTGTTGTTTTTAACTGTTTCACCACTTGAATTTAAGATATGTTCTTGGTTTTAGGGAATAATGATGTTTTAAGATCTCAGCATGTTTTAAGATCTCAAAACTTTTTTGATTCTATATCATTTTCCGCTAATATGCTTATTTTAAAAATACATAGCTATGATTATTGAAGAAAATAGAATCTAATAAAGGAAACTATTTGTAGTTCAGGGTTGACATGAGGGGTCCTTGGTGCTCTCGGAGCTTGCTTGTTTTCTTGCAGGTGTTTAATTACCCAAACTACATAACATCATCAGTACTAGCACTGATAATATCTAATTTGGGTAATGAGATGTCTATAGGAAAACAAAATAGAAACAGAATCTGTAAGGACCTAAGGCTAATAGTTTCTGTAAGATTAAAGGGTTTTTTCTTTTTAGTATTTTTCTAACACCTTGTTACAATTACAAGCTCAATAAATGATACTTATTGAAATAGTTTTTGAAATTTGCTTATTTACTATAGTGCTTATTTTATTTCCAATTTTGGATTACTCTGAGAGAATTTAGCAAATAGCAATTTATTGGGATTTAACATGTTTGTCACTTAGTGGGATTCTTGAGCTTGATAAGATTTACAAAGCCTTTTATGTCAGGCAGGTTTCTAGACAAGCACACTTTGCCAGATGTGATCTCTCCCTTTTTGCTGTTTTTGAACCCAATCCATTGGGTTCACAACCTCTGGTGATCACAGAAAAAGAAGTGCAAGATCTATTACTCGGACAAAAGCCAGGAAAAGCACCAGGGCCAGACAAGATAACTCCTTCTTGCTTAAAAGTCTGTGCTGACCAATTGGCCGCCATCTTCACCCAAATCTTTAATAGATCACTAGAGAAGTGCTATGTTCCTTCCTGCTTCAAACGCTCTACTATCATCCCAGTGCCAAAGAAGCCCTCCATCAAGGAACTGAATGACTACAGACCCGTTGCTCTAACATCTGTAGTTATGAAAATCTTTGAAAGGCTTGTGCTGTCCCACCTCTAAATGACGCATCCGCTGTTAGATCCCATGCAGTTTGCATACCGAGCAAATAGATCAACAGATGATGCTGTTAACATGGCATTACATCCTACAACACCTTGAATCTCCAAATACCTACACGAGGGTCCTCTTTGTAGACTTCATTTCAGCATTCAATACCATCATTCCAGACACTCTTCTAAGTAAATTAAACCAACCAGCAGTACCTGAACACACTTGTAAGTGGATCATAAGCTTCCTAACAGACAGGAAGCAGCAGGTGAAGCTAGGTAGAATCACATTCGATACCTGTACAATCGGCACAGGGCCCTCCCAAGGCTGTGTGCTTTCTCCACTTCTCTTCTCCCTATACAGGTGAAACTCAAAAAATTAGAATATCGTGCAAAAGTTCATTTATTTCAATAATGCAACTTAAAAGGTGAAACTAATATATGAGATAGACTCATTACATGCAAAGCAAGATAGTTCAAGCCGTGATTTGTCATAGCTGTGATGATTATGGCTTACAGCTCATGAAAACCCCAATCCACAATCTCAGAAAATTAGAATATTATATGTAATCAATAAAACAAGGTTTGTACATAGAACAATATTGGACCTCTGAAAAGTATAAGTATGCATATGTACTCAGTACTTGGTCTGGGCCCCTTTTGCAGCAATTACTGTCTCAATGCAGTGTGGCATGGAAGCAATTAGCCTGTGGCACTGGTGGCAGGGCGCATTGCATTGTGGGTGCCGGTGCACATGCACTTTCGGCACATCACAACAAGATGTAAGATGTTTGGCAGTACTGACGTAATGATATAATAAGTAATTACAGTAACATTTGGGAACATTCTCATATTGCCCTTCCTCACTTTACATTTCAAATTCTGAACTTATCACTCATGCTATTTTGTTTGACAGTAATATGTTTTGTTTTGTATTCAGGTGTTTACTTCATTTAAATAGTAACTATTTCATATTGTTTCTGCCTATCCAATAAGATTAAGTAGAAGAGGCTCTCTCTTGGTCCTTTCACTCAGTGGGTATCATTTTCAGAGAACTTGGAGATGAATAATAGAATAACTGAGTTGGTTCTTGGAGGGCTTCTAGTCTAACCCCGTCCTCAAACAGGAAACCCTTTGAGAGACATGGTTGTCCAGTCTGTCCTTAAAAACCTCCAGTGTTGGAGCATCCACAACTTCTGGAGGCAAGTCATTCCACTGATTAATTGTTCTGTCCGAAAATTTCTTCTTATTTCTAAGTTGATTCGGTCCTTGATTACTTTCTATCCATCCCTTCTTGTCTTGCCTTCAGGTGTGCTGGAGAGTAGGTTGCTCACCTTTTCTTTGTGGCAGCCCCTGAGATATTGGAACACTGCTATCATAGTTCTTCTTTTCAATACATTAGATGTACTCAATTTCTGTAACCGTTCTTCATATGTTTTAACCTCATCGTTTTTACTCTTCTCTGCATCTTTTCAAGTACTATCCTTCTTCTGTCCCAAAGAGAAGCAGCCTCCAACCTGACTGGATTTTAGAAAAGTGATTAAAACCTGGCTCCTTCATCAAGATTTAGTGACAAATACATTATTTCTTTGGATATGGTATTCTATTAGAATTGAGTTATTTATTCTGCTTGGCATAGAATTATGAGTTGTTTGTTACTTCTTTTCTTTTTATGTACATGTTTAACCTCACTTCATGCGATAAGATATGTGAACCATTCAGTGTCAATTATGATTGGGGCAGTGTATAAGTTTGGTAAAATAAAATAACCTTGCAGACTGAAATTGTATGCCAGGAAAATTATTTTTATTGCTCAGAAATAAATAAAACAATCATCTCATTTACTAATTCATATAAGAACACTTCCTTTCCATAACTGTTGGAGCTACACTGTGAAGTAGCTGATTTGTTCCCATTCTTCATTAAGTGTAGTTTGCCATTTTCATGACATTGTCCAGCAGTTTTCAACTCATGACCAACTATTTTGTAACCAATACTTAGCAATGCATTTTTAAAATATTATTGTTTACTTTTTCATTAACAGTATAAATCTTTTTGATGGTCCAACTACAGAAGAAGCATAGTCCATGCTAGTTTCAGTACTACACAGAATTTCAGGGCAAACCAATTGTTTCCAAATAGCTTGTTATTGTTTCCTCAATGTTTTTTATAATATAAAAACTGTTCTACTATTTTATAATGTGTGTGAAACACGAATGCCTATAATTAAACTTTCCTCCAATATTTATTGATTAAACTATTTGAATTACACATCACTTTTTGTTTGATTTGCTGAGATACAAATATTATCTTCAGTATTAATTCATATATCATGAATTCATTGGCTACTAATGCTAAAAGGGGAACTTTGGTTTTACTTCTTATTCTTCACCCCAAAATATTTAGATTTACAATGGCACTACAAGAATAATTGGCTCTGCAATTGTATAAAGTTCCATTGTCTTAGGTATTGATTCTATTGGCTTCTTGAGTTTGACATACTATTATATTGTATTTAAAGCCTTGTTTCTATGATATAAAAATATCTCACAGTGGGAACTAGATTTATCAGCAACATGACAAAAACATCAAAAGAAGTTTCTTTAGCTTCAATTCAGTGCTCCATTGGCCAATTTATCATCAAAAATGATACACAATGGAGTAGGATTAAATTATTTGCCATACTAAGTGATTACCATTGCTAGGAAACTGTCCAATTAAAAATATTTTCTTAGTTTTTATAATCACCATAGTATGGCTTATTGTTGGACAATTTTTTAAATCTCTCAGCAATATTCCCACTTTGCCAGTCTTCATTACTGTCACCTTCACTTGGGTTCCTATCAATGAGGTGAGGAACTTCAAAGCAATTCCAGATGTCCCCCTTGAAAATGATAGGTATATGGTCAAAATTGTAAACTGGTTGATTTTCTTCTTTTGCTTATCTTTAATTGGAAGTTGCACATAAGCAGTTCATTGTCAGTCCTCGGTCACATCTTTACTTTTATAGCTAAATATCCAAAAACTGCTTGGTCATTTTCCAACTTCATTTCAGTTTCCTAGGCCATACAGTCAAACAAAATTTTCATCATTATTTTCAACTTTGGCATTCTAGACCAGGGGTGGGATGGGTGTGGCTTAGGTGGTGAGCGTGGCTTGGTGGTCATGTGACTAGGTGGACATGGCTTGGTGGTCATGTTATTGGCTGGGTGTGGCCAACTCAATATCACATCAAGGCACACATCTCCTCGCTTGGCCTCTCATGACTGTGGAGATGCTGCAACAAGTGTGAAAAATTGTCATAAGTCACTTTTTTCAGTGTCATTGTAACTTTAAATGATCACTCCACACAAGCAAAGTACCAGCAAAGGACAGGAAAAAAAACTCCAGAGAAGTTCTGAGACAGGAAGTCTAGTCTTGCCAAGAATGTAATAAGGGTTAGTGGAGAGGCAGTTTCTGTAAGCAACACCAGAATGTTTTCTTCCTGCCTTCCTTACAGGATTAGGCCAGTAATTTCTTCTAACAACTGGTTCTGCGAACTGCTTAGAATGTTAACAACTGGTTCTAGCGAATAGGTGTGAACTGGTAGAATCCCACCTGGTCTAGACTCCAACTACAAATAACATATGTTGTTTCCATGTTCTGTTAGTTTTAAATTGAACTAACTGTAAACCCCATCAGCTTCTTTTTCTGCAACAATAGTTTGAGCATAAGCTTCCATAATCAAAGATTAATGGAGTACTTGTTATATCTAATATTATCAGTCATTGATTACATTGTAGCCAAGTACTATTTTTGCTATATCCTCCCTGACTATAGAAGCAACATTCTTCCTTTTTTCATGTTTCTTTGTGTTTTGAGTAGTAAACAATATGACGGTCTAATTGAAAGTGTCCAATCCATTTCAATTCACTGATGCCTTAGATGAAATTTACTTCATGGCAATATCAGCAACTAAATGTCTCTGAGGCTTTAATATAGTCACATTTTAAACTCCATTAGGATATCAAAAGATCCTTGGCTTTTTCTTAGTAGCCCACTGAGTGGCATCCAACCTCAGGAGTCCGTCATTAGGAACTATGTTGTTAACTCCTTTAATATTGTCTAAACATGTGGTTTTGGCTATTTTCCATTGTTTTCCCACATCATCTAATGATCAATTGATCTAATACATGTCGATTTTAAAGAAGACATTGTTGAAAAAGCACTGCGCAACCTAAAACTATATCTATTGGACTAGACGGAATGTGTGCCTACTTCTTTAAAAAGCTATCCACTGCCATAGCCGAACCTCTAAGCATAATCTTTGAAAAATCTTTCAGGACCAGCTCCTTGCCAAAGCTATGGTCACAAGCCACGGTCATCCCCATCTTCAAAAAGGGAGACCCCAGCCTAGTTGAAAATTACAGACCAATCTCTTTATGCTGTGTCACCTGTAAAGTCATGGAATAAATTATTAACCAATCCATCATCATCCACTTAGAAACAAACAACCTACTCTCTCATAAAAAATTTGGTTTTAGAAAGAAACTATCATGCAATCTGCAACTCTTACAGTGCAAAAACATATGGACTACACAACTCGATCTGGGCAAAGCAATAGATGCAATCTACATAGACTTCTTTACAGCCTTTGATTCAGTGGTACATGACAAACTACTCCTAAAACTAAAATCTTACAATATCTCTGGACACCTGCATAACTGGATAGAAGCATTCCTGTCAAACAGACAACAAATGGTCAAAATTGGGAGCGTCCTATCAAATTCTGTACCTGTCAACAGTGGTGTCCCCCAAGGCAGTGTTCTAGGACCAACTCTCTTCATACTCTATATAAATGACCTCTGTGATCATATCAAGAGTAATTGCATTCTCTTCGCTGATGATGTAAAACTATTCAACACCACAGACAATACTGCTACCCTTCAAAAAGACCTCGACTATGTGTCAGAATGGTCAAACAAATGGCAACTTCAAATCTCAACAAATAAATGCTCCGTCCTACATATTGGCAAAAAAAATCAGAAAATAAAATACAGGCTGAATAGTCAAGATTTTGTTGATGATCCAAACTCTGATAAGGATCTTGGAGTACTCATCTCAAATGACCTAAGTGCTAGAGCACACTGTAACTACATAGCCAAAAAGGCATTAAGAGTTATTAACCTAACCTATGTAGCTTTTTCTCTGGTAATATTACGCTAATAACTAGAGAATACAAAACATTTGCTAGACCAATACTTGAATACAGCTCATCAGTCTGGAACCCACATTACGTATCTGATATTAACACAGTTGAGAAAGTCCAGAAATATTTCACAAGAAGAGTTCTCCACTCCTTTACTCATTGCAGAATACCTTATGCCACCAGACTCGAAATTCTAGACCTAGAAAACCTAGAACTGCGCCACCTTCGGTCCGATCTAAATATAGTATATAAAATCATACATTGCGATGTCCTACCTATCAATGAATACTTCAGCTTCAACCATAACAACACAAGAGCAAACAATAGATACAAACTCAAGGTTAATCACACCAAACTCGATTGCAGGAAATACAACTTCAGCAACAGGGTGGTCAATGTCTGCAATACTCTACCTGACTGTATGGTTTTTTCCCCCAAATCCTAAAAACTTTAACCTTAGACTTTCTACTATTGACCTCACCCCTTTCCTAAAAGGTCTGTAGGGGGCGTGCATAAGTGCACCAACATGCCTACCGTCCCTGTCCTATTGTTTCTTTTATTTTTCTTACATGTATCCATGTATTCATAAGTATGTTTTTACTTAACCTATTATCTTGTAAGCAATTGACAAATAAAAATAAAGAAATAAAATAAAAAATAAATCATATGAAACCATGTCTTTATGACTATTATTCAAGTCTTTCTATAATGCTGCTACCCAATATAGTGTATACTTCCTTTAGCTGAGCCTCTGGAATGACCTGAATGCCTTTGATTTTCCTGGGATTTCCTGAGATTATGGCAAATTGTAGAGCGGGTTCCCCAACCTCTGAGTCGCAACCTGTTTGGAACTAGGCTGCACAAGTGCCAGGTGAGTGCGTTCATGGGCAAAACTTTATTTGTGTAAGTGGCAGGCGCATGCACTTGCCACTTGCGCAAATTGGAGCTATATGAACATGTATTCGCCTGCTGTTGCTCATGCAGAATGATCTCCTTTCCCCCACACTTCTGCTGTCAGTCCATAGAACTGGAAAAGTTAAGGCCCACTCTTGTAGAGGGCATAGGGGGTGTGTCCTGAATGACAAGATGAAAGCTGCTACTGAAGCAACAATCACATAAGCAAGATTTGGTTAAGAAACCAACTTGAGAAAATAATGGCAAACAAAGAACTACATTTCTGTTCAGTCAGCAAGAGTGTTACAATTAGAATTTGGATTTAAAGTAATACAGTGATAATATTTTTATCTATAAGAACTTGTACTCCAGTAACCAGTTAAGAGCACAGCTATCCAGCAGATAGATAGATTAAGTAATTAGATACTGGTCAATCCTAATATAGAGATTCTATCACTGAATGTTAATTTGGGATAATATAATTAACATATTACAACAACAGAAACAAATCTTAAAAGAAATGACTTCCGCTACAACTATAGATCTGAAAACTGGAAGAAAGGTCACCACGACATTAACAACTACGTCGGCAACAGCTTTGCCCATGGCACAAAAAACCATAGAAGAAACATTGCCAGTGGAGAAACAAGCTAACATCTCGAATGCCAACGTCCAGTCAATTCTGCTGACTTTACAGGAATCGATGATGAAGCTGCAAGACACAATGATGAAAAACCATAATGAAATGAGAGCAGATATTAATGAACAAAAAGAGGAGATGGGGAAATTAAAAGCAGAAATGAAAGTGGACATCTCCAAAGTAGAGGACAAAGTTGGAATATTATAGCAGGCCTTGGAGAAAAATGAAGCAACAATAAAAGAGGTAGAGAAAAGGACTGAACGAACTGAAAGGAAATTAGAAAGGGTAGATGAAGAATTAAAGAACGTGAGTAAAGAAATGGAGGACTCATTGGTCTACCTAGAGATGGATAAGGCTGCTACATACTTGAGATTCCAAAATGTAGTGGAATCCAAAGAAGACGACTTGGAACAACTAATGGCAGGAATATTGGCTGGACTATTGGAAAAGGATAAAGATGACATCTTGAGGGAGTTGGATGAAGTTTACAGGGTTAGAACTAATTATGCGAGATGCCACAAATGCCCAAGAGAAGTCCATATACGATTTGTGAGAAGGAGTGCCCGGGATATCATATATAGGATGTCAAGAGATGAAACAATCATGTTTAAAGGCAAAGAAGTCTTGGTTCTCAAAAAAATACCAAGAAGAGTAAGAGAACAAAGACAAGATTATAAATTCTTAGCAGCTTACCTAAATCAGAAAAGAATTGTATTTAAATGGCTAATCCCAGAGGGGATGTTAGTTTCTTGGGACGAAAGGAAAATCAAAATAGACCCCATGGAAAAGGCCCAGGAATTTTATGAGCGATTGGTAGTCCCAGAAGACTAGAGCAGTAAGGATGAACTGGAAACAAACTCCCAGAAAGATCAAGGCTATCATAAGAACAGAGATGGAACTTTAGGAAATCAAGGAAATACTCAATTACAACAGGAGAGAGAAAAAAGTAGGACACATCTTCAGGCACAAAGAGAGACCAGAGCCATTACAAGACAAAGAGCGAAACAGAACTAATTAATTGGAAGAAGAAAAGAAACTACTATCAACTAATATAAATGGTTTAAACTCAATGATAAAAAGGAAAAGGATAATAGCCAAACTAATCAAACAGAATGCTGATATAGTATGTCTACAAGAAACTCATATAAAGGAAACAGATGAAAAATACTTAGAATGTCCGAAATTATTCACCGCACCAGCAGACGTGGGGAAAAAGAAAGGGATTGCAGTATATGTTAAAGAGGATTTAAAAGCAGATTTAATATGGTCGGATTCTGAGGGAAGAACTCTGGTTTTGTAGATCTGGATTAACGCCATCCCAATTCTTTTAGTGGTAATCTACGCCCCGAATGGAGATCAAAAAGAGTTTTTTAAGCATCTTTATGGAAAAATAGTAGGATTGGGAAAAAGAAATATTTGTATTATAGGGGACTTTAATTCTGTTGCTGATTATCAAAAAGACCACAGTAATGGGGGAAGGAACAAAGGGAAAAAAGAGAGCTTCCCAAGATATGTATGGAAATGATGAAGGAGTTAAATTTGATTGACATATGGAGAAGATTACATCCCGAGGAAAAACAATTTACATTCTATTCAAATCCTCATCAAATATGGACACAAATTGATATGGCATGGATGAATGGGGAAATAGTAAATGAGATAAAAGGGATTGAAATTTTGCCCAATGAATGGGCAGATCACAATCTAATTCAGATAATATGGAAGGGTAGGGAAAAACCCAAGAAAAGATGGACGTTAAATACTCAGTTAATAAGAGAAAAAGAATATACCAACAAACTCAAGGACGAATTAAACTATTTTTTAAAGGAAAATGATAATGGAGCAACTACGAAACAAAACATTTGGGATACAATGAAGGCAGTAATAAGAGGTATAACAATCTCTTATAACGCCAAGAGGAATAAGGAAAAATATGCCCAGCAAAACAAATTACAACAAAAAATTAAGGAATTAGAAACTCAATTACAGAGTACTCCATAGGATTCAAAATTGCAAAATCAGATAACAATAACTAAACATAAATTGTATTTAATTGAACAAGAGAGAATGATTATAAATTTGAATACAACTAGACAAACTTATTTTGAGCATGCCAATAAGCCAGGGAGATTACTATCATATAGACTTAAAAAAAAGAAAGAAAAGAGATTGATATACCAGCTAATAGATGGAAAGGGGGATATACAATAGGAGATAGAACAGAAAAAAGAAATTGCCCATAAGTATTTTGAAGAGTTATATAAAAAGGAAGAAGTTAACGAAGATAGGATAAGAAACTATTTAGATGAAATGGAGGATAAAGCAATTAGGGAAGAAATGGAAGAATTATTAAATAAAGACATTACTTGGTTCGAATTGAAATCAGCAGTAGAGAACCAGAAAAACAACAAATCCCTGGGACCAGATGGGATCCCAGGGGAGCTGTACAAGGCAATAGCAGAACAAACAGGACCTCTTATGGTGGAAGTTTTTAATGACGTCTTATTGGCAGCCAGGATGCCGGACTCATGGAGGGGGGCATTGATTTCGCTCGAAGGAGGATTCGGATCCCCAATATATACAAAATTATAGGCCAATTTCATTGTTAAATACTGATTACAAAATATTTACTTCTATTATAGCAAGTAGACTAAAAAGAATGTTAAATGATCATATACATGAAGACCAAAATAGATTTCTCCCGACTAGACAAATCAGGAATAACTTAAGAATAGTATTAGATGTTTTAGAATTTTACAAAGCCCACCCCGAACAACAAATTGCACTTATGTTTTTAGACACAGAGAAGGCCTTCGATAATTTAAATTGGCAATTTTTAATCCAAAAAATTTATAATATGAATTTAGGCACTAAATTTGAAAATATTATAACAACCATTTATGATACATAACAGTCTAATATTATAATAAATTTGAAAATATTATAACCATTTATGATACATAACAGGCTAATATTATAATAAACGGGGAATATACCCGGCCAATAAAAATAGAAAAAGGAGTCAGACAGGGCTTCCCACTTTCACCCCTGCTCTTCATATTATCACTAGAAGCATTATTAACACGAATTAGACAGAACCCAGACATAAAAGGATTAAAGGTTAAGAAAGAATATAAGTTACAAGTGTTTGCAGATGATATGATTTTTTTCATTGAAGAACCAATAGAAAGAGAACAAAAATTGATGAATGAATTAGAACAATTTGGAGCAGTAGCAGGACTAAAAATGAATAGGAAGAAAACAAAATTAATGACCAAAAATTTAACAAAAAACCAGAAATTAGAACTAGAAGAAGTTATGGGAATACAAGTGATAAAGAAAGTTAAATACCTAGGAATATGGTTGACAGCACATTGTAAGACACTTAGGGAAAATAATTATGATAAATTGATGCAACAGGTAAAGAAGGATTTAGAAACATGGGGCAAGCTGCAACTTCCATTATTAGGCAGGATCGCTGCTATTAAAATGAATATTCTTCCAGAATTCCCTATATATTTCAGACGATCCCAATCAAAGTACACAATTTTTTTTTAAGAACTTAATAAAATAACTGTAAAATTCATCTGGCAAGGGAAAAAAACCTAGAATAAACTTAAAGGCAATGCAGGATGTGAAGAGCAGGGGAGGACTGGCACTTCCAAATTGGGAGTTGTATTATAGTGCAGCCTCTTTAGTATGGTTGAAGGAATGGGTGAATTTAACCAATAAGAGAATATTATTCTTAGAAGGCCATGACTTGCAGAGGGGCTGGCATGCTTTTTTATGGGATGTTGGGAAAACTAGCCAGAAATATTTTCACAGACACCGAATCAGAGATTCATTATTGACTAATTGGAAGAAAATATGGAAAAAACACTATTTAAAAATACCAATTTGGATTTCAACAATGGAGGTGATGATTCACCCAAATAATCTGGATATTACTAAATGATTAAATATAAGGACCTATTGGATACGCAAGGAAATCGCAGCAAGAACTTCAAGATCTGGGACTAAAAATTGATCAGTGGGCATATCTTCAAATTCAAAGTAGATATAAACAGGACAAGAAAGAATTTGGAATTAACAATAAACTCCAGCAATTAGATAAAATTTTATTAGGATGAGACAAAAAATATATAACAAAATTTTATAATTATTTATTAGAAGTAGAATTAGAAGAAGAAATTGTAAAAGGGAACGTAGTATCACCATAACAGAATGGGGCAATTATCAAGAGTAAGGGAATGTTGAATATCCAGGTCTGCTGGTAATGTGGGTTGTTTAGTATATCTGTTTACAAGGTAATTCTGCCTCCAAGAGAGCTTGGCATCCTTGACAAGCAGGTAATGTGATTCAAACTTCTTCTGATTGATAGAATTTTACTATGCAAATTGATGAAAAAAACCAGATGCTGCCTTCTATCCACATTAAATCTAATAAATTAATAAAGCTAGTTTTTTTTTCATCAAGCTCATTTACTGACAGTTTAGTGAATAAAATTTATGCAGTTGTCAAATTACTCCAAATAACATGTAATCTTTTTTCAATCTCACTTTGAAAAAAAAAAAAGACTAAGAAAAACTTGGACTTGAAGATGAATGGATAAACTGACAAAGAAATCAGATATTTTTTCTTTTTGTTTCATCATGTTTCTATTGTAAAATAATGTGTAATGACTGTACGATGATGCATGCCATTTTGATAAAATGGCCTTTCAAGCTTTTTATTCAAAAATATTACAAAATTATTACTCAAGATAAGATTCTGGTCTTTTGAAATGTATGGAAGTGATATTTTCATGCAAAACTGGTGGCAACAAATTCTTCTGCCAAGAAGGATTTCTTATCAGATCTTTGTGTACTGTCAGAAATTTAAATACATCAGGTTTCTATACTAGATATGAAAAAGAACAACATACCTGAACTTTTTTTTCCTTTTTTTCTAATTTTTGAAATGTTAAGAATCAAGTCTCTGGAATTAGAAGACATTGCCAATGATTTATAATCTATAACATCTGTAGAGAAAATGAGAAATAAATACTGTATATAATTTTATTGCTGCACCACATTTTATAGGGTTTATTGTTGATAAGTATTCAAAAGGTTCAGCTTTTGTGTTTTCCATGCACAGTTTATTTATAATTCTAAAATAATTTGGGTCTCATCTGAGGGATTATTATTTTTTCATTATATCTTCAGGAAAAAATTTTTGGAAATATATCCACTTCAAAAATGTATTTGATTGTATCTGAGCTATTAGATATATTCCATTGTATGTAGCTTTATACAACAGTATGTGATATAAATACTGTTTTGACTCTGATCTTTGACTTTTGAATATTCATTTTTAGTTCCATAACAATATATTAAAGGAGTTTGTACATTTTTATAGAAGAACCAATTCACTTAAGCATAGCTATTTTTCATAATAACAAATAATCAAATAACTATATATAATAACCATTAAATATAGATTGAGTATAAATTAAGTTTTAACAAAATGTCCATCCATTGACCTTTGAATAGAATATAAAACATTTTCATACCATCACTATTAAACAAATCATTAAATAATGTAGGTTTCTTTTTCAAACTGTTCTTTTAAATTACTGTGTGGAAGTCAAGTAGTTGCACTACCTTTTCTCATAATTATCCAGCTGTAAACAATAAAAAAAGATGTATAGCTGGAGATTCATTTGGTTTGTTAGGAGACTTTCAGTTGGATGGAGACCTCTTCTAGGCTGCTGTGTACTGAAAAGTGGGAAGGCCACACTTCAGATTAGGAATTCTGTTCCAAAGTAGCATGACTATGTTAGAAGAGCTGACAACAAAGAAATGCTGATCTATGTTGTTTTTCAGTTTGAGACAGAGAGTCAAATGACATCCTTTATACATACTGTAGGTCAATCAGGGAGGTAGCCTGGGGGCATCTACAGTTGTAGTTTCTAATACCTCTCAGCTCCTACTTGGGGTCACTTTTTGGTATGTTTAATAGTGTGGTCTCTGCAAGATCAAGTCAGACATAGGATACAATTTTAACCACAGTACAGAGGTTTAGCCTCTACATTCAAGACAAATTTGTTACCTTAAGGCCATGTAGTCACCACATGTAAAATAGCATGATTGACTTGTGAAATCAGCTGTCGAATCAAAAGAGGCTGAATCATGCTTAGATGGTGCTTTTCAACCTCAGAATTTTAATCTACTTAACCTATTTTTTTAA